GTCGTTTTTAGTTGTTAATCTGTGTTAGGGACCATACTCCAGCTGCCGGCAAGATGTACTTTCCCATTCTTTAAGCTCACAGGCATTTTTGCCCGTCCTCACGTTTTGCATACTCAACTACTTGTAACGCCTGCTCTAATCTAAAATTGTCGGGCATTTGACATTGATAAATAATTAACCAATAAAAAATGCCAGACGATTTTCAATTGCTGAAAAGGTGGGGGGTGGGTATGCAAAAAAAACACATTTTCTCTCTCTCTGGCAATCAAGAGAATAAAAGATTTTGTTGTGAAAATAACGCTGAAAAATTGCCAGACGGTAACCACAGTCCGCAATCGAGTTTCCCGCGGAAAATTATGTAAAAATTTCGGAAAATTTTCAGTGATTTCAACGTGGTGGCAGACGAAGGAAAGAAAGAAAAAATATAAAATTTTTCACGATTTTTTTTCTTCTGGCATTTTCTATTTCGATTTAAAATACGTGTAAAGTGTGTTTTTTTTTTTAAAGATAAAAGTCAACATGACATTAGGTTGGCAATACAATGTAAAATTGTCAAGGCTTTCATTTTTTTTATGTAGGAAAGGCTTATGTTGCCAACATAGTTAGTAAAATTTTGACTTGGGGAATTATCTTTAAAAAAAAAACAGACATTATATACACACCTTAAAAATGCCAGACAAGGTGAGCTCTGGAAACAGGCTCAGTAGACCTGCCCCCCCCCCAGTTGATAATTTTTATCCAAAACGCTAGCCCTTGTTCTCCAGAGCTAGCGCAACCTAGCGCAACTTTTTCGAAAGCTAGCCCAGCTACAGGTCAAACGATATGTGGCTTTATATTCGGGGGGGGGGGGGGGGGGGGGGGGGGGGCTAGGGTGACGCTAGCCCCCCCCCCCCAGTTATTAGATCTTCTCAAAAATGCTGGCGCACATTCGTAACACCTAGCGCAAGTTGTGTCATAGCTAGCGCAGCTATCGTAGCTGTCATACAGGGTGGACAAAAAAAATCATAAGCCCCTACAAGTGATTTTTAATTTTTCAAAAATATATATGAAGCTTCCCTAAAGCTAGCGCAGGCTAGCGCAGGTAAAATTCGAGCAACCGCATTACCCCTTTAAAACATATACAGGTATTTATTCGGGGGGGGGGGCTAGATCAACGCTAGCCCCCCCCCCCCCCCCCCAGTTGTTAAATCCTATTCAAAAGGCTAGCGCAAGTTCGTGATACCTAGCGCAAGTTGTGTCATAGCTAGCGCAGCTATCGTAGCTGTCATACAGGGTGGACAAAAAAAATCATGAGCCCCTACAAGTGATTTTTAATTTTTCAAAAATATATATGAAGCTTCCTTAAAGCTAGCGCAGGTAAAATTCGAGCAACCGCATTACCCCTTTAAAACATACACACATACAAATATTTATTCGGGCGGCGGCTAGAGTGCCACTAGCCGCCCCCCCCCCCCCCCCTGTTGTTAAATCCTTTCCAAAATGCTAGCGGAAGTTCTTGACACTTAGCGTAAGTTGTGTCGTAGCTAGCGCAGCTATAGTAAGTAAATGTTATACAGGGTGAACCAATGAACTATAGCCAAAAACTGGAATGCGCACACATTGCCATATCTGCCAAAAAAAATGTAGCCATGAAAGACAGATGCCATAAGGGGGAATGTTGTTTCTTTCTGTTGCTCGCTGACATATGACGTTTTCGAAAGATTTGTCATATTATCCTTCACAGGTTTCATCAATTGGAATACGTGTTGGAAGCAATTTCCGCCATTTAACATAATGAGTGCAACAGAAACAGGTTTCCCCTCCGCAGCAGCGGCACTAGGCTTCATGTTCGTCAATGTGTGTACGCATTCCAGTTTTTGGTTATAGTTCATTGGGGTGAACTATGAAATCTTACAAAATGTCGCCAGCTCCAAGACAAGATTTAACGTTTACAAGCACTATCTATTCGCGAAGTAGGTAACTAAAACTTAACCTCACAAAGAAATGAAAAAATTGAGGTAGGTATCTTTTTCAACCTTGATGCGCGCGCAACTAGTGGGTTGTACAGTGACTGTATTACCACAGTGGCAACAATAATTGCAGTCTTATTTATGATTGGTTTTTTGAAATCCTATAATATGTTCATATTAATGAACTGTGTTCACTTTGTGGCGTAACTCTTGCTAATTTTAAATATGAATATATACGATTTCTGGACATCGATCATAACAAATTGAGAACAACGTATTTGATATACCTAATAATGGTCATCAAATACATGGTTTTCAATTTTGTATGATAAAAATCCTATATACATATTCGTATTTAAAATTAGCAAGAGGAAAGCCACAAAGTGGCGGGGGGACCTCTATTGTCGCCACTGTGTTAGGTTTATTGTCACTGTAGTGAGTTTAAGGATGGCAACGACATATCGATATTTAGTTCGTCGATATATCCATACTGAATATTGTCGACATTTTTAGTGGTGGTGGCGGTGGGGTTTGTCAGGTTTGTGAAGCAAGAGCTAGTACTTTTTTTCATCATCAATTAAGAATTACGTTGGTTGAATGCATTTAGTGATCCCAGGCGGTGGCATGTATGTGTTTCTCATATTAGGTTTGAATTTCACTGTTTTCTGTTTTCTGATTTGTTCTGATTCCGGCCCGACTATAAAGGAAAAAGTATAACTTCGCGAATAGATAGCGCTTGTAAACGTTAAATCTTGTCTTGGAGCTGGCGACATTTTGTAAGATTTCATAGTTCACCCTGTATAACATTTACTTACTATAGCTGCGCCAGCGACGACACAACTTACGCTAAGTGTTGGGGCTAGCGTCACCCTAGCCCCCCCCCCCCCCCGAATATAAAGCCACATATCTTTTGACCTGTAGCTGCGCTAGCTTTCGAAAAAGTTGCGCTAGGTTGCGCTAGATCTGGAGAACGAAGGCCAGCGTTTTGGATAAAAATTATCAACTGGAGGGGCCAGGTCTACTGAGCCCTGGAAACAGTATTGAAAAAAAAAATCAAAAACAAGGAAGATTTCTATTGGAATCACACGTGTACAGGGTGTTTCAAATTCGAGCCACATCATTGGGATTACGGTAAGATATACAGGGTTGGTTAAATGAGGGCAAAGTTGCGTAATTTGATGCTTAACAAAATGCCGCTTTGATATTTAGGATATGCCGAATACTTCCGGAGATATCCGGAAAAAACCGAAATGTTGCAAAATTGTTTTTATTTTTTCCTGACTTTATTTAAAGTGATATTCCAAAAAAAATATCACATCATCATAACCACTTTTTCTCCCCTACAAGATGCTACCATCAAATTTATAATCTGACGTTTCGTCTTTAGGCTTCCATCATCAACTCTATTTTTTTAAAAACGATACTGGATTTTTTATTTATCAAAAGTTTTACCGCACGCATATCAGTACGGAAAAAATTTTACCGCACTGATATGTCAGAAAAAAAAAAGAAAAATTTTACATTTTTACGCCTGTAGGAAAAATATTGTACCTAACACTTGCGTAAAATATTTTTTCTCCAAACGTCAAAAAAACATCACTTTGTCAACACCTGTCAAGATGGTAGAAATTCAATTTCTATGTTGCTAGGCAAATCCAGGAGGTTAACACCTGTCGAGGTGGTAGAAATTTAATTTCTATGCTGCTTGGCAACCCCAGCGGTAGCAAATGTACTTTTGGTGCCGCTGGAGCGGCAGTAAAAGTACTTTTAGTGCCGCTTGTACTTTTACTGCCGCTCAACCATCCAGTTACCCCCGAGCTTACCACATTCGTTTGGAGAAAAAATAGCGTGTTGCATACGGAGTAGAAGCACTTTTTTGTGCTTCAGCAGTATTGCAAGCCTCACTACGTTCGGCTCGCAAACCTACTGCTTCAGCACAAAAAAGTAAAGCTTCTACTCCTAATACAACAATATACTATTTCCGCTCTCGGCTGCTTCGCCGAACTCCGCTACGCGTCGTTCGGTGAACGGCAGCCGCGTGCGGAAAAATTCATTTTCCGCACTTGTTAGGTAAATAGCTATTTTTTTTGTCTAGCATTCTGTTTTTCTATTGTTAATAAATGTAGATACATAGTTGAATTCAAAATGCCCGATAAGTTGAGTCATTCAAAAACTTAAACAAATGTATACATTCAAATTCAAAATGATTTTTTTCTCCAAACGTCAAAAAAACGTCACTTTGTTAACCCCTGTCAAGATGTCTGAAATTTGATTTCTATGCTGCCAGGCAAATCCAGCGGGTTAATACCTGTCGAGGTGGAAGAAGTTTAATTTCTATGCTGCTCGGCAACCCCAGCGGCAGCAAAAGTACTTTTAGTGCCGCTCGTACTTTTACTGCCGCTCAACCATTCACTCGTCCCCGAGTTTACCTTCAGCAGTATTGCAAGCCTCACTACGTTCGGCTCGCAAACCTACTGCTTCAGCACAAAAAAGTAAAGCTTCTACTCCTAATACAACAATATACTATTTTTCTGGCATTTCGCATTTTTACCGTGAATACAGGAATGTACTCAAAAAAAATGTTTTTCGGTTTCTAAAAAAAAAAGATAAAGCAGTTCAACTTAAGAGAAGTTAACATATTATCTATAACCACTGAAGAAATGGAAATGCAAGATTAAAAAAAAAGCGTTTGGAAATTGAATGTATTCGCATGTTTTCAGCAGAACAGTTCCTTACCAAATTATTTTTTAGGACTTTCCCTCTTTTTGACCCCTAAAAATAATTGTTTTTTTTGGTATTGCTCAAATTTTTCCGGTGCATCTTTTTTCTCTCATAACATGTTGATTTGTTTACAGCACACACAAAAACTTGGAAATTACAATTGACGCATTTTCAAAGATAAAAACAATGCCTATAAGCAATATACATATTTTTAAATGCACATAATCACAAAAGAACATAATATTGTTGACCATTTTTTAATATAAAGACTGCTTAAAAACATTGCGGTTTATTATTATCTAAATCCTATCCCAACACTTAGCAATGATTTCCTCATTGGTTGAATACTATAAGCAAAACAAAAAGAATTTTGTGTGGAAAAATATAATTTTATTGCTCGGTTTTCATCCGGTTGCTGTGTTCGGTTTGTTCGTGATACTGAGAGGTTCCGCGAAATTTCATACTGTGATTTTTAGTAAGTATTTTTTTATAAGTTTGGTATGTTGATAATTTTGTTGGTAATTTTAGATTATGTTGTCGGTGTTTTGGCTTTTTCCAGTTTAACCATAGGAGCCCATCGCCTTTGGTCTCATCGTTCATTTAAAGCTCGCTGGCCACTGAGACTGATGTTAGTGGTTTTTAACTTTTTTCTATATGAGGTAGGTAAGTGAAGTGTATATTAACCATGAATTGTTGTCGTGAGTAAGCGTAAAATTGTGTTCTCCAGAATAATAACTAGAAAAATAAGTTTCTTGTGTTCAAAAATTTGTTAATTTGGATGATGGAATAACAAAAATGACTAAATAACTAAAATGAATAAAGCTAGTAAAAAGGAAATTGATAGCATGAATATTCGGATGGACTTTTTGGATTAGCAGGGTAAAAGAAATGGTAGGCTGTGCAGTTATGGATAAGAAGAGACCGATGAAAAAATATCGATTTCAAAACTAAAAATTCTTTGCGAGAAATGAACTACGGTACAGAGAGGTATTTTTGACTAAGCATCTCGTTTAAATATAGGTAAAAGGAATTTGATTATATTACGTCCTTCAACTGAAACTGGCTTGTAGAAAATTATATTTAAAGAAATAATATACCTGAGCTTTTGGATGGAAACTTCCAAAGTTCCAAAAATTGTCCATATGGCATACCTATTTTACAATACCAAAACCAAATAAATAATGTTTCCAAAAATAAAAATTAGTAGGTACCTATAAAAAAAATAGGATGATGATAGCACTGGAAAACCAAAATCATTAATTACCGCATCAAAGCCCATCTAAAAATGATCTGAGAAAGTTATCTCGGTTTTTTTTGTCTTCGAAAATAAACCCAGAAAAAAATAAAAGCCAAAATTGCAATTTCCGGTTTTTGGGATATTTCCAAAAGTCAGGTCAGGCTGTCTGGTTATAATTTGACGCCCCACCTACAGCCTTTACCTTTCCAGCTAGATGATAGGTGTAAATACAGAAGTTGTCGAGTTTTAGGTAAAATTTTAGAATCCATTGTCAGAAACAAAAACTTATTGTCAGAAATTTGAAATTTTACGTGTGTTCTCTTTTCTTGGAGAAACAAATGGCTTGCGTCTTCCTGGGGTTTACTTAGGGGCGTCATCTGTCCATCCAAGTTTCTAAACTTTCGAGGTGTCTTTGAATGCGTGCTCTTATTGTGGGACGGGTCCTGGCAGTAGCTACTATCGCTGTGTCATCGGCGTATGAGAGGAGTGATGTTTCATGTGATGTGGGTAAGTCTGCCATAAACAAGTTGAATAACAGCGGGCTGAGTGGTGAGCCATGGGGGACTCCGGCTAGTACTGGTCTGGTGGTTGATCTTGTATCATTCGTTGAGTGGCTATTTATCGTAACGCTGAATTTTCTATTAGCCAGGAAGGAGGATATACCTTAGCCGAACTTCGTAGTGTGGCATATTGAAAAAAAGCATCTTTGATAAGAGTCCTTCGTGCCACATTTTATCAAACGCTTTGGCGATGTCCAGGAATACCGCCCCGGTTTCCATGTTTCTATTGGCCCCTTATTTTGTTGGATTAGTGAAGTCAATCTTGTGGCTTGGTGCGTTGTTGAGTGCCCGCTTCTGAACCCCATCTGTTCATTGAGCAATAGGTTGGATGTGTTGATAGTGTCTTGGAGGTCCCATTTGATAGCTCTCTCAGCGACTTTCCCAAGTGCAGGAAGCAAGCTGATGGGGCGGTAGCTTTTAGTGCAATTGCTTGGTTCGCCGCTCTTTCCAATTAGAATGACGTTCGCAGTTTTCCATCTGTCGGGAAAGTGGCCTAGAGTTAACGGATGATGCGAGTAAGGACTTCGACTTGTTTTTGCGGAAGTTTCTTCAGAGCCATTTTCGTGATACCATCTAATCCAGGGACTTTTCTGCGTTCCAAGGCGGCAATTATCAGTCTTATGTGATCGGTAATGACGGCAGGGGGCTAATGGACTTGAGGTTGGCTTAGCAAGAGTGGAGTCGGATTGTTGTGTCAATCTGAAAGTTTCTTGGGTTTAGGGATAGGAAAGAAAACCAATTAGTCTTTCGGCAGCGTTTCGTCTTTTATTAAGACTTTATCAAGCCGTACAAAGAACAAACAATGAAAAAATAGAATCATGGGAAAACCAAAATAAATTTGAATGATTCAAAAATTATAAAAGAACAAACAGGGTTATTTAAATGTTTTCCTTACTTAGACTTGAAGGTTTATCCTTGAGATGTCTTCACCAACATTCCAGCATACCTACTAGGTTCATGTGCAACCAAAACATTAACTTGTGAAAAATGGCACATTTATTTCTTTTTCTCATTAATTTCTATAATTATTACAGTTATATTTTATTTTGTTTTCAGTTAGATTTGGCGGCAAACAAAAATATGTTGACAGCATTTTCATATTGTGTGTTGCCTACTATTAGTATCTACCATTTTGTTAATTTGTTCAATCGTTGAATCGTTATACCAAAGGTTATACACTGAAAGATTTTATAATTTGTGGATGATAATTTGAATTGATGAAATTAAGAGATTACTAAACTTCGTTTCAATTAGTTTTGGCGTAGAATAATGGTTAAACATCAAAAAATAAGAAATAAAAAAAAAACATAAAGTAGGTACAAGTCTAAAATTTGAAGCAAAGAGCAAATAATAGTTATTTATACACCAAGTGAGGTAAATGAATATGGTTAGCCATGAGAAGAAAGTTTAACCCACGAGCCCTAGCGAGTGGGCTAATTTTCTTCGAATGAATAAACATTTTAACTCACGTGATGTATACAAAATTTTATCCCATTTTGTCGAAATTTAAAAAATAAAGAACATGGAAGAATGGCGAAGGTGAGTTAAAAATGTTTTAAATCACCTAGGTGTCCGAGTTTTAATTGGGCAGAGTGACTTAAAATGCCAAAAGTGAGTTAAAAAATCTTTAAATCACTGAGGTGATAAACGTCTACTTACCTTTATTGTGATGCATTCAATAATGTCATTTTTAAACGTCAAAATGGAATAAAATATTAAAATTAAAGGTAGAGGAAAGGCGCCTAATATTAGGATACTGCCTAATATTGGATACCTACCTATTTTAATAACGTAACTGTATATGTGCTTCTTTCTAGTAACCATCACCTTAAAACCCCACTAATAAGTTTGCAGAGTTCTATAATAGACTATGTTGTTATAAACGACATTTAAATGAAATGTGTGTGTATGAAAATTATTTGCTCCCTATTTTAGGAGCTGAATTATCAGTTGAAAGATAAACATTTCAAATATTTCTAAATGGGGTGGCTAGTGCATGTTGGATATCCGATATTAGGCAATGCTTTGATATCAACTTCAATAATATATTGTTTACAGAAATGGCTACTTAGAGAAGCAAGCAATGGGATAAAGCAAATATGACTAGTGCTTAAAAATTTTGAAATTGTCAATAGCCTTTGAATAAAAAAATGGTTTCCTAATATTGGATACCCTATCCAATATTAGGCTACTACACTATAAAAAATTCCAATGAGTGACTGCAGTTTGGATAGTGAATTAGTTCACCAAATTAATTTTTTGAGTAACATTTTAATAAAAATTGATTATTTTCACAATTTCTTTCAATTATGATGGTACTTCGATCAAAATTGAGTAAATTAACTAAAAAGACGAATAGAAAAGATTGGAAAACTCATTTGAGGTGATTTTAACTCCATTTGAAAATAATGTACGCGATAAAGAGTAGAAATCGCCTTTGCGAAATACATTTGTGATTTGACGCTCATTCCTCCCATTCACGCATTACGCAAGCTCACATTGTACGGTACGGATGCACTCGAAGCGTCGTCCTGTTCGTTTCCCAATAACCCCAAATTTATTTACTTATTTATCTGAATCTCGAATGTGATGTGTAGCTTTTTCCAAAGTGTATACCTATACCTACTCGCGGGTGTAGTTTATACTAGAATAAACCAAGGCGAATTTCAGCTAGATTTGTATAATCCCTATTAAGCCATTAGTTTGAATTTCTTTACAGGGCATATTAGTTGATTTTCTGGAAAGTTATTTACCAGCAGGATAAATTTACAGCAACTAGGTACTGGAACAAATATATACCTACATCAAAATTGGTGAGTACCATCCAATGTTACTGGCAACTTAATCCTGCTGGTAGCTACTTAGAAGGAGATTGATATTGGTTTCTAACTCAATCATTGACTACTTTAAACTTTTATAGAGTTAAATTTTTATCAAGATCGATCCAACTGAACAAATAATAAGTAAAATTAAAATCATTTTTGAATATAGGGTCGTTACCTCCTATCACTAAAATTATACTGACCATTATTTTTCGATATAGTGAGGCCTAAAACTTACCCATGTCATATTGGTTGCATTGAAAATTGTTTCTTGGTTTATTTAAATTAATTTAAAATTTAAACATTTTTTGTCCTTGTCGAATTGTTGGTCTCTTTCTCCCATGACGTCACTAGGCGGGCATGCGCAAAGCAGTTGTGAACAAATCCATCAACATATGCAATTTTGTGAGGTTATGTTGTTTTGTTATTATTTTGGATTGTCGTCGACCGTTGTTATATTTTCATTATTTTTTGAGTTTTTCAACGGTTTTTCCGAGGTTTCAAGAAAAATATTTAAAAGAAACGTGTGATAAATTCAAGGTAAGTCATTGTTTCTCATTATTTGATCAAATAGAGCATGTATTTCAGTTTCAGTGTACCCACCTAAGGCCTACCTAATGTTCACTGTTTGGCTATGGATTTTCGTAAATGTTTTGTGCCTTCTTGTAAAAACAGTAATCTAAATTCGAAGAAAATCCCAAACCCCAAAAATGAACAAATAAGAAATTGGTGAATAGCTGTGGAAAGAGTTAATATATTGTCTAGTATTTCTGGTGGAATTTATTGCTGCGAAGATCATTTCAATGTAAGTAAACTTAGTTGCCAAATTTCATTTTATAAACACCTATTTTCTGTCATTAAAATATGAACAATATATTATGTTTATAGATGGAACAAGATTGTGATAACTGGATGCAGTTTAGGATGACAAACTGCAAATTACGTATGAAGAAAAATGTGGTTTCACATATCAATTTAGGCAGAATCGAAGTTTGTTAAGAAGCTGAATAAAAGAATTGCCAGCTTACGAATCCATATTG